CGGCATGGTAATCTAGGAATTAAATATTTGCCGAATATTCTTGTGTACCAAAGTGCGGTCTGGAATAGTTATTCCGAGGAGAATTGTTCCATTTATAAAATAAGCATGCCACTGTTCCACCGGGAAATTTTAATAAACATGTAATGAAATAATAGTATTGCGAAGAAATTTATTAAAATTATAATAAACGTACCGTATCAAATAAGCAGCGTGTCGAGGGTACAGAATTTGAAGGAAATAAATTAATCGTACCGGCATCTGTGATTGATACACAAGTGTATGAGTAAAAACAAGAAGCCCCCGGACAAAAATCTAACAAATTTTGTCCGGTCACCAAATAAATATGTGGCCGAACGTTATCCTGATGGAATATGATGCACTTTCTCTCCATGAATTCCAGAGGGAAACTTTTCGCTGGTTGTTGTATTCAACGTGACGACAACATACATACAAAACATAGTGACTCTTTTTTACAATGATGTTAACTCTATACAAGGCCCAAGAGCCACTCGATGTAGAGGGTTACAGAGTAAGAGACACCACCCCAAGCAAGGGGATAATGCTAGCAAGATGCAAGGGACTACCGGAAGTGAGAGTGAAGGAAAAGGCTTTAGAAGGAACCGGAAACCCAATCTTAAACAGGAAAAAGGGGATAAATCGCTACTCCTGTCCAAAAGGTCTGGGAGAAGTGTGAACCGGACGATAGTTGAACCTTTCAATTTCTTTTTCCTGGTTAACCTACTCGAAAGACAACATCAGCAGGCATGCTAAAAGAGCAACTAGCCACTCACAGCAATAAGGGGTTACCAAAAATGCGAGTACGAACATTTCATTTTAATTTTCAGATAAAAGGGATAAAATAACTCCGAACCTCTTGAAACTACTCCCAGTTTGAAAGAGACGCTAATTTCCAAGGATGCGTTTAGAAAAGGAAATAAAAAAGGAAAAAAAAATTACTATATCCAATCCCTCATGAGAACGATATACATTGAGAACTGCAATTCCAAAGCTGAACATCGTGTCCATCACCATAAAAATACTATTTATCTGTAATTATTATACACCCCAAACCACTACAGCCAAATGATAAACAAAAGTACACTAACAAAACAAACAAAAGCTATCTTTTTTAATGCTTCTTACAGCTAAATACTCCTCGTGCCATCTAACTATAATAAGAGAACGGAGACTTTCGTTAACGTAATTCTATGTAGCGTGTTCAATCCTCACTGGGTGCTTATCGATTATTGCTTTGTACTTAGCTAAATTTAAAAATACTCGCCCATTCACAAATTGAAAACATCAATTTTGCAACTTAGACATTTTCATCGTTCCTTTTGTTGTAAACCGATGAATCTAAAGGCATATGGAAGAGACACACAACAAAATATATGAACATTTTCATTAAAGTTCATTGTTATAGAAAGTTTGTGATGAGAATAAAAGACGAATCTTAAATTGATTTGCGTTCATTTTGTCAGCAGATTGACTGACATGAATTATTTTCAATCTTTTCGAACTTATTTTTCGTTATGCTTTAAAAATTATAGATTTATTAGAGAATTTATACAATTTTTTAATGTTATGATTTATCGTTCAAATGCCGATCCACCAACACGATCGAACGTTTACTCTTCTTGTGTGTTTTATGCAAATAAATTGAACACATTTGCATATCAAAACAAATGCGCAAAATCAAATACAGGTTGAGAATCCTTTATTTGAAATTCCTGGGACAGAAAGTGCTTCGGTTTCAGATTTTTTTTTCGGATTTTGGAATGCGTGCTATTTAATTTGTATTTAGCATCAATAAAATGGGGCAGATTGGTAATGGAATCCAAGCATAAACACGATATCCCTTTAGTAAAGGGACTTTACATTTCCTAACACAACTTATACATATACCCTGAAAATGGTTTTAAATAAATAACATACCATGAAAGTAGTTTTATATAAAGCATTTAATAAATTTTGTGTACATACAGATACGGGTAACGATGCTAGTGATGTAATGTTCACATGAATTTTAAGTGGTGAAATTAAGATTTCACGTAAAAAAATTCTGTACGTGTACAAAAAACATGATCACTACTTACAAATATATATATATATATATATATATATATATATATATATATATATATATATATATATATATATAAATGCAGGACTTTTTGAATTTTAATGTCTTTACCGACGAAGAAACACCTGACAAGTAATCCACGAACAAAAGTGTTGCGGTGACGATCGCTAACAAAACAACTGACGCCAACGTAGCTGGATTTTCTGAAATTTTCCATTTGTGGCAAGTCATGTCAGCACCTGAAAATCTTTCGGATTTTGGAGGTTTTCGGATAAACGATACTGAATCTGTATTCTCAAAAACACCCACTCACATGAAAACAACTGAAAATCATTATAAAGGGACATATGATATAGAACATTTATTTTTTGAATATCGACCACCATTTCACAATCTTCCAAATTTGCAGAGGGGAGGGGGACTATTGAAGATATTCATGGAAATATTTACACTATTAATGTGAACGGTATTTAATCTAATATATACAAATTATGATACCACTCTGATGACAACAGTTTTATGAATTTTACCATATTGTTCAAGTCTTGCCGACTAAGCAGGTTATTGAACTACTGTGAAACATTATATTGTAATTTACAGAACGAGCGAAGTACTTGCAAAAATAAATAACTGAACAAAAATTGAAAGCAGTGACAATGCGATTTTTTTAATAATACAAAGTTATATAAGAGCAACATTCAAGTGAAATGTCTGGTTCATGTCCTAGTGTTAAGTCATTCATCCATTGCTTTTCAGGATTGTTGTATTACTTCTGATGAAATAGACTGCATAGTATTTAGATTAACATTCCAAAGTTCATTTTTGCTTGAAAATTGCTGTCCACCAATGTTAATATCCTCTTTCGAATGCTCCACAAGTTTTTAATCAGGTTAAGGTCGGGCGAACAAGACGGTTATTTGATCAAAGTTTCAAGTTTCTTTGAAACACATTTTCATTTTATTCTTATATTAATTTTCTTCACTGAATCTGATGGAGCATTGTCGTGCATAAAAATCATTTTCTTTCTGAAAATAATCTCAACCCAAAACATTAAACTAACTCTTCCTTGTTGACGTCTCAGTCAAACCGTGAAGGTGGTTTCCGTCAGCAGCCACCCAAGCTTCACGCCATCCATTTGGTTGGGCAGTCAAGGTAATATGGTATTCGCTGGTAAAAAAAGAACAGGTGAACAATCAGTCTTCATTTTTTCAGTTAAACATTTCATTCGATTTTTCCTTTGGGATGTATTTTTAAGAGAGACCTAGGGATCGGTCTCATGTTTTGTTATTTAATTTAGCACTCGACATCTTGTACTTTTCGATAATTACTCACTGCTGCAACAACAACCAAAAATTTCAACTTGTCAGAAACGGCATTTTTTAAATAACTTTTTTAATATTATTTTACCTCTTGCAAACGTTAATTTTATTTTAAACATTTCTTTTTATTCATCAAATCAGCTTTGTAGCAAATTTTAAAGTTTCAAACTCGAAATGACGACTTTTAATTTAAGACTTTAAAATTCAGGATATTTCATGCAAATGACTACAGTTTGTTTCTATCTACGTAGAACTAATTAGCTTTCAGCCTAACTGCACAGATGTTATCATCATTTAGTAAATAATAAAGTTTTAGATTCTAATGAGTATTGATTTTATATATCGATAAAACATGAAGTGGCTAATAATGTAAAACACAGTAGATATATGAAAAGTCAGGCAGCACTGAACATTAATTTCTTTTAATTGATAATTTTATATTTCTAATTTGGATACTGAGGAAGAAAACGTGTTCTTTTGGATTCAATTTAGTGCATAAGTTAGATGCTGTTGCGAAAGTATTGCCCATGAACTGACCGACTGCTATTTCAACTAAAGTTTTTTTTTATCATTTCTCGGCCCTTTTATGGGACCCAATGCGGGAATTAACAAAAGTCCAGTTCCAGAAAGCTCCCATCACTAGGCTGCACTTTACCCCTCACTGCACATAAAGTAGGGAGGGTCATGGCTAAACCCTGATGCTTGAGGCATCTCAGTAGGGAAAGTGCCAAGGGAACTGGGCAATTTCTGGCACAAACCGCATGTACACGTGAGGGAGCTGCACGTTAATTGAAACCTTGTGTCAAATCCATCGTTTCGTTGGTGGGGCTAAGTTCTGTTGCAATTAATGTTAAGTTAAACACTTTTTGTTTTATTTAGTTTCCTTCACTAAACTTATGATTTCGGTGAGAATTCAATTTTATCTTTTTCTTTTCTTGTCGGGTTTGTTGAAATCAACTTTCAAAAAGCAAGCCTGTCTTAAAAACCCTTTTTGCCTAACGAACCATAAAGAACTCCCCGAAAAATCACCCCCACCAAAATGCTTATATTAATTCTTGTCGATATCTAATTTTCATACTACGATCGAGTTATAGACCCCTGCCCATGCTTCTACACTGTTAAAACTTTAAACTTTCGGTCGAGGTAACCCCCCACCCCCCAAAAAACAAAAAATAAATAAAACGATCCAAATATTTGATAATGTACATTGTAAAAGCATTGACGACAAATTTCTCTTCAAATATTCACGTCACAAATAGATAAGCTTGTGCAGTATTATTTGAAGTAAGTTTCAGACAAACATTTTGAGAATTAATAATGACCAACATGATACAAATGTATCTTTGTTCAGATATAACTAAAAATATACATGAATAAAGACAAAAAGAAAACTTATCTTAGCCGAGGCGCATCGGTTTCAGTCTAATATATTGGTTTTTAGTTTCTTTGTTCAGTTAAGAAATTTGTAACCCGAAAACCATTTTAAGGGCCAATAGCATCTAAACTTTTAAATTATGAACAAAGGTAAAATGAAGCGAAAATAGTGTTCACTTTTCAGCTTCATATTTTCTTAAGCTAAATTTATAATATTTACGCCGTACGGCCATATCACGTTGAAACACCGGTTCCCGTACGATCACCAAAGTTAAGCAACGTCGAGCCTGATCAGCACCTAGACGGGTGATCGCTTGGGAATACCAGGTGCTGTAAGCTTGGATGTGCGGGTGATGTAAGCGATAATGGCTCTGAATTGTTAATAGGAGGGCCGAGTTCCAATTTCAGTTGGGTTCGTTATATTCACTTACGCGCAAATACCCTTGGCAAATATATGAATTCACCGATTTCCCCCCAGCTATGGATTAATTAGTAAGACTTGTATCGCTAAATCCTTATTATCTAAAAAAGGAAAAAGAACTTTTTAAAATCTAAAAGTATTTTATGGCTTTAAATAACCTGTAAAGAGATGATAAGCCGTAGAAAACAACTCAATCGAATTTATAAGGTTCCAAAATCAACCAAAGCCATGATTTCAGTCAGTATGACATGTTGTTCTAGAAAAATATGTTTTAATACAAGACAAAAGCTTGTTGCCAAAACGAAACTTATGTCACATAATCTTCAAACATGTAAGGATATGTGTCAAAAATATACGAATTTTTGAAAACTACCTAACTGGTCTACTTTTATGATGAAAATAAGCAATTTTAAGGATGTAAAAAGATCGAGCAATTTTCAAATATACCATTAGCGACATTCCTAGAACAGGAATGAATATGGTGTGTATCTGACATACTTTATAAATGAGAAGTTCTCAAAATGGATAATGTCTTTTTGCATTTTGGCATTTCAGCCATTTTCAGGTTCTAAAAAAACTAAAATTGCTTAAGACACACGTAAGCTGTTTATATTTTTGTAATCTAAAGTAAATATTAACTATTGCCACCAAGTCTCAAATCTGTACATGTAATATCCTTAAGGAAATAAATGCCAGAAATTCGGTGGAAGCCTTATTTACTAAAACGCCAGAAAAAAAATGAAGTGAAAACGATTAAATATACACAAATCTAATATTTGTGATTTATCAATAAATTTGATGAAGGAACACCTATGAATGTTCTCAGATTTTTCAGAAAGAGAAAACTTTGACCGTTGGTTGATTTGAGATTGAAGGGAGTTTTAACTCTGAGTAAATAATTATAACCCCCCCCCAACACACACACACACACACACATATATATATATAAATATTCGTAAAAATGTGAAACAGCAAGATGTGGAAACTTTATTTATTATCTGGTTGTTATGTGGTGTTAGAGACATGAGAGACAGTAATAGTGAGTAAAATTGTGAGTTTGGAGTCAAATGTAGATCAAATATGAATCGGAATGCGACAGAATGATATGATAAAGAATAAGTAAAGTATATACAGTCTTCCTCGTATGTTTTTTCTTATAGATGTGTGTAATGAGTGTCCAGATAATTTAGTTGGAAAATACCAGAGGTGTCTGGAGTTTTCTTACCTCGATTTTTTGTTGAGTGCTAAGAGATAAATATTGTTATTATAGCTTGAAAAAGGAAAAGGAGCCGAAACTTTGGTTGACGCACGTGTTGACGGTGTGTCCATGTTGAATGTTTGTGTGTGTAGAGGAGAAAAGTGGGGTCGATTCTCATTGGTTTAGAAAGACTGAATTATTGATAATTATAATAGTAAATTTAAAAATATTTATTTTTATGAGAAGGTCATATATATAATGAGGAATCTTTAAAACTTAGCCTCCCTTCAATTTTTAACATCTGATTTAGCTCCTATGCGACTTTTTTTTATTTTGTGGACCGTGTCTAATTTACAAATATTTTACTTACATATTTTTATAGTTGGCATGTTTATCGAATAGTTTATCTTAGTTATGTTTGCTGCAGATTTTACATGTAGACGGAAAGAATCAAAATGAAAAAAATATCTTCTCTTTGTTTGATATCTTATTAGCATTAGAACCCCCCCCCGAAGACATTGGTTTATAAGAATTAATAGTTTGGTTCTAAATATCCACAAGACGACCTGCTAAAAGATTAAAAAACATCTGATCTTTCTTGCCATTATAGCTTTGTCTTTTCTTCTTTCTTTTTTCGAATCTCAGTAATTGATCCAAAAATATATCTTTTTAATTATTCTCGTCAATCAATGGACAATTTACGTTCAACTGACCTGCGAGGGTCTTTAACCTTTCTGACAATATCAGATCTTTACTCCACTCTTTTTTTTTTAAACGATGCCACAAGCTTTGCCACATTTGCTATGAAGAACCACTGTGTCCTGCTGAGCTTTGTAATTGTAGAATTCGTGAATAGTCCAAGCTTTATTTCAAATGAAAAAGAACTGTAGTTGGTCCAGTCACTTTTTAGTCCGATACAGATGGCTACCTCAGTGGACTATCACCGAGTTATGCCCCAAGCTTCATCTCATCACTCTCCCATCGGAAGATATAGTATTATGGTTACATCTAACTAGTGGCTGTCGTGATCTCCCGGGGGGCAGATGTTCACAACCAGAAATTCAGATATTCATCAGCGTGTGTGTGTGTGTGTGTGTGTGTGTGTGTGTGTGTGTGTGTGTGTGAGAGAGAGAGAGAGAGAGAGAAAGAGAGAGAGATATCTTCCACCATCACACTAGGGATGGTAGAGGAGGTGGTGGAATAAATGGTGCTGGAAGTCCATTCCCAGAAAATGAAATAAGGTTGTCACTGGCCTTCTACCGTATCAACTCCCCACCAGCAGCCGTTTTTCTACGAAAATAATTACCACAAAGTTCTGGAAGGTCAATAGGTCAAATTTGGGATATTCCCAGCCAACTCGATAGGCATATCGCACGGACAAGGGAAAAGGGAGGTGAGTGGGTTCGATGGCCAAAGTAGTCAGTAAATGACCCTTTCTTTCTTGGCAGATGGGTGATAAGGGAAGGAAAATAACTTTTACTGATGTAGCGTGGGGAGGAAAGGAAGGATATGAGGTCGGGGTTGGCATATAGACTTTAGGTTAATTTGAAAAGTGAATGTTGATTTTAGAGAGAAAGGGCGGGTGGAGAGGATGATTCTCATCTCTGGTTGGGACAGACGTTCTTTTTTTTTTTTTTGATACAGTGGCTTATCAGGGTGGCAGTTTGTAACAGGAAAGTGAGAAAATGAGCCATATATATCCAGTAATATATGACAATTGGCTACAGTGGTAGTTTAGCAGACTGAGAACCAAAGGGAGCAAGGTTTAACCTAATATGTTGTACTGGTAGCAGCCTATTATTTAATAAATTCTGAGTAGGGAGAAAAATGACCCTTTCTTAGGTTAACAATTAGTTGGAAAAAATCATTTCGTTACCAAAATAGATGAGGTACCTAATTGGTAACATTTTCTGGAAACAGAACAATACTTTTTTGCATGTGCTTACAGTACACTGACACACAATCATTACCATCAAATCATATTATATATGTGTGTGCATGTGTATGTGTTTTACCAGTGAGCTAATGTTTACTAGCTCAGATGTTGAAAGCCTTAATAAATATATTCCCTTTTAATTTAAATCTGGGAAACCACTTTCAAACCAAGTGTTTCTTTACCATTGAGCCATGAGAAGCCATCACAACAAAGCAAAGTTCAATTAGTCTTTAAGAAATGCACATCACTCTGGCCCTTTCCAGGTAAATTTATTTTTATACTTGGAATATAAACAAAGCTGTTTTTAAGTAATTAATGTTTTTATTAAACCAACATTATCCCCTTTTCTATGTGTATGTGTATGTACAGAGACACTATCAGACTGACACTAAAATGCCCAGTAGGCACACACACACACACACACACACACACACACACACACACACCACATGACAAAGACACATGATATCTACCTGACCAATGGAAAGCAAACAACACAGAACTAAAAGTAACAATTTTCTTTTTCATAATTTATTTTCAAAATATTTCTGATGAAGTTTAAATAAAAGTGAAACATGTTAAATTTATAAACATTTACTATTTGTTCCTTATCCCATCTTTGTGTTAGATTCTAGCTAGTCCATATTTGATCCCAACACACACACACACACACACACATATATATATATATATATATATATATATATAGTAATAAATCAGTAAATATCAATAAAACTGTTTTTACAAACAAGAAAGTATATCTTTTCTGGGAAACAGTTATATTAAAAAGAGTGCTCAGTGTACAGTTCAAAACATTGAAAGTGCAGAGCTATTTAATATTTAGAATAATAAACAGTAACCCTTTTTGCTACCACAGTTTCCACCTATAAATGTTTTCTTTGGTTAGGGAAAAGGTCAATTGCCTTACTATATACATTATTTATACACATTATTATCATTATAGGGAAACATAATGGGAGAAAGAAAGGTAAAGTTAGAATAGAGAAAAAAATGTGGGAGGGAAGAACAGGAGAAGAAAGAAAGAAAGAAAGAGTGGGGAAGAAAAAAAAAGACTTTGGTGCTCTCATACAGGTTCATATTTTTCTAATAAATACTTCTTTGCATGTTTGCAAGCTGTCATCATCACAGACCTCTCATTTAGTAGGTTGTCTCAATCTGGATGAAACATAATAACCATCTTTTCCTCCTGACACAATCTAGACATGACATTACCAATGCGATATGGCTTGGCTTTCTTAAAAAAAAAAAACTCCAATATACATTAGGGCTTTTACCATATTTTTCTTTTAGCTCCCATACATGGCTAGCCAGTTTTGTACAATGTTTGTAACTTTCCTGCCTAAATGATGATTGATGGGTGTACCATCTTTTAAACTAGGTAGCTTTAAGAAAAGACGGTACCGGTGGAAACCATTGTAGCAGAAAGAATGAGTGTTTATTATTTTAAATATTATATATATATCATATTATAAAATATACTTTTAAGGCATACTATATTTATTGGTAAAAATGCTCAATATGCCAGATAAAATAAAGCATGTGTAAATATAAGAGTGATCAGTGAAGTAGTGACAGTTTGTATCATACTGTTATCACTGTGTTGATCTCAGTGTCCACTCTTGTGTGTGTGTATATATATATATATATATATATATATATATATATATATATATATATATACACACACACACACACACACACACATATATATATATATATATATATATATATATATATATATATATATAGCAACTATAAGAG